CTCTTCCTTCAATTCGAGATGTTTTACTCTCTGCCATGGCTACACCCATGGGACAGAGGGGGGTGGAGGGTTGCGGCCAACATAGCTGGCTGGGAAGCAGAAGGGAGTGTGTCGTGGAGGGGCAAGGCATTGCTTGTCTTTTGCTTCTCGTGAAGTTAACCATTTTCCCCCGTGGAATGATGTTATTTTCCATTCATCATGGGTTGACATGCTATCCTTCAGGTTTGTCTTTTTTCGTTTTCTTTTCCAGTGGAAACTCACGTTTGCAAGGAACCTCCAATCTCAACCTGTTGGCACTGTACTGCCAAGGTCCAAGGAGGGGTCTGATACTGGGCCAATTTGATCCCAGGGAGAGTTCTGGTATTTTAGGGTCCACTCGGTAGAATAGGCCAACTCCAGTCCAGTCTGTTCAGCCTCAGGTAGTTAGGTTCCTCACAGGTCAAAGGGGCCCAGCCCAGTTCAGTCCAGACTCAGGTAAGTAAGTTTTGCCCAGGGTCTCAGGAATGTCAGAACGCTTTCCAGAAAATGTCAAACTCTGAGAGGCCGAAGCCGACAGGTTACCCGGTCTACTGGCCAAGGGTTGGAAAGCGGAACTGTGGCATACAAAGCACAGAAACAGTTGCCATTATCATTCACTCCCACTCGTGGTTGCTGTGGAAGCACTGTGGCACTGCAGTGAGACCAAATGACAAGTGAGACAGACAAAGGAGGCTGAGAGTAGCTGTAGTCTACAAGCACTGGGCACCATAGCTGATATTGTAACATAGGCAAGAGAGACGACCAGAGAGAGAGAGAGAGAAAGAGGGGTGAGGATCAAGTGGGAGAGTTCATCTTTGATTGTTGCTTGCTGGTGGCGATAGCCGTCCAGCCCAGTGTACATAAACTTGTTTGTATAAGACATTGATTCCTGATAGTCTGAGTTAGTCTGAGTTATCATATCGGGTGCTTTGGATTTCATCTCTCGTGTGCGAAAGGGTGTTACTCTGTGTGATGGAAGGTATTGCTTTGAAGTTTGGGCTTATTGCAATTGGATATCAGAGCAAAGCTGGATAGGGTGTTGACGTGACGTGTTGACCGGTGTTAAAGTGGTCCGCTGGTGAGGGAGAACATCCAGTGTCATTTGGCGAGGTGACTTTGTTGTGCTGAATAGTTCTTGCTGGCAATTTGGAGTGCGATTCAGAGCAGCTTGTTGATGACTTCGTGGAGAATCAGGAGCAACATCCTGGAGAGAAGTGTCTTGATAACCCTAGCCTTGCATGTTGCTTGTAGTTTCCATCTTCGATGTTGGAATTTTTGCTTCTCTTCTCCTTGGCGATCGCCAGGCCGTGAGTCAGTATCTGTCTTTTGGATATGCAATCTGTTTATAGTTAGGTCAAGGTTGTTGATCAACAGTCTTGCTGGCTGCCCACATTGTCCTTCTGCAACGTTAAATAATTTTTGATCTGTACTTGGCCTTCAGATTGGTCTTGCCACGTAAGGAGTGTTTTTTGGTTGGCCACATTTCCTGCTGCCACATTAAATCATTCTTGATCGACACTTGGCCGCCAGTTGACTTCATAGAACAAGTAGATAAGAAGGTTGACATTGCTTCTGACTGGAAGTCGTAGTTAGTGAACGGGCCAGAGCTGCGGGCACAGGTGATCTATTGATTGGATAGGCTACAGGGATGTAAGTACTCGACCAAAGTACACCTCGAATCCGGGTACCATCAAATACAGGTGGTAGAGAAGGACCAGCACAAGACTGCATTTTGTACTACCGTCTTAACCCGAAAACAAGGTACGTACCTTGTAGAACAAATTTTAGGGTGCAACTTTCCTAGAGCGAGCGGGAAAAAAAATAAAAAAATATATAGTAAATATTAGTAATAAAGAAATAGGAGGGAACCCCACACCTGTGAGTAGGCCTGTCGGGGCGAGGTACTTGCCCTTCTTCATTTTCTTTGCCTTTGTGTAGAGCTGTTGGGAAAGGTCCCTATATGTCGTTTCAGCATCAGATTTGGTGCCTGAATCTGAACGCCTTTGGGGAGAGGTGCGAAGCATCTCGATTGATCTGCTGCTATGCATCTCTGCGGAAGATACGTCCAGAACCTGGACCGTCTACATACAGCTCCAAGAAGTAGGTATGTACGTTATACAAAAACTTCTTGAAATTTTTCAAAAACATTGTACATACCTTTTCTTGCAGGTGCCTTCTCATGGTCACGCACTTGTTTGTGGACTTCGCGCGATCGTGAGAAGTGCTTGGAGAAGAAAATCTTTGCCCTGCGCTCACGATCCCGCACACATTCTTCTCTTCTTTCCAAACACGACTGTGTGTGTGTGTGTGTGTGTGTGTGTGTGTGTGTGTGTGTGTGTGTGAGAGAGAGAGAGAGAGAGAGAGAGAGAGAGAGAGTATAGCGACCGCGTGGACAGCCCATGCCACACACACACACACACACACACACACACACACACATAGAGAGAGAGAGAGAGAGAGAGAGAGAGAGAGAGAGAGAGMRAGRCACACCTCGAATACAAGGTACGTACCTTGTATTTGAATACAAGGTACGTACCTTGTATTCGAGGGTACCTTCTATTCGAAAATTTAGCGGGGATTTCTCGGAACCCGTTTTTCGGAGGTAACTTGAATACAAGGTACGTACCTTGTTTTCGGGTTAAGACGGTAGGTACGGGCACTATGAGTTAAAGGTCATCCCTTCGGATGGACAAACCCACCTGTGACCTTCCAAAGGTCGATGAACAACTAATGATGTGAGTGGCTAGGCATCTTCATAGTTGTATGCTTAGACGATATCCTCGTGTTCGATCAGACTCTCAAAGAGCACAAAGATTATCTGCGACCAGTACTGAATGAGCATAGAGAAGGTGAGTTTAAGGCAAATCCAAAGAATTGTGAATGGGGTAAGAGTCAAGCGTTGTACCCTAGTCATGTGATGGATGGAGATAGTATTTAGCTGGAAGCGAGGAAAATAGTTGTGATTATGGACTGGTCAAAACTCAAATCCCTCACTGAACTCAGACCCTTCCTGAGACTCGCTAACTACCACAGGAAAATCATCAGGAACTTTTTCATAGAAGAAGCACTGTTTTGTAGACTGCCAAAGGAGGCAATATGAAAGTGGGATAAAGATTGTGATTCAGCCGTCAATATCATCGTCCCATTCGTTATCACCAGATGCTAGTCAGTACGGGATAGGGGTTGTATTGCAACAAAACGAGGGAAATGGATATAGATGATAGATCTGTACAGTTTATGTCAAAGTGCTTACAATATGCAACAGTTGCAAGATCGACCTAAGCGAGAGAGCTATATGCATTCTACAAGGCCTTTTAAAGTTGTCTGATCACAACACTTGGAGGTGGTCGAAGACTTTGCCAAGGTTGTCAGTCAAGCTAAGTAGGTGGTCTCAAGATATAGACACCTGCATACGCCTGCGGCTTCGAACTGCAGTTTGTCAACGGGAAGCACAATGTTGTGGTCGACGCTCTCT